ATAATTTGATGTAATTGTAGTGTATTTAAAGTATTTATTTATTTTTTTTTTTTTATTATCACACCGGCCGATTCCCACCAAGGCAGGGTGGCCCGAAAAAGAAAAACTTTCACCATCATTCACTCCATCACTGTCTTGCCAGAAGGGTGCTTTACACTACAGTTTTTAAACTGCAACATTAACACCCCTCCTTCAGAGTGCAGGCACTGTACTTCCCATCTCCAGAACTCAAGTCCGGCCTGCCGGTTTCCCTGAATCCCTTCATAAATGTTACTTTGCTCACACTCCAACAGCACGTCAAGTATTAAAAACCATTTGTCTCCATTCACTCCTATCAAACACGCTCACGCATGCCTGCTGGAAGTCCAAGCCCCTCCCACACAAAACCTCCTTTACCCCCTCCCTCCAACCCTTCCTAGGCCGACCCCTACCCCGCCTTCCTTCCACTACAGACTGATACACTCTTGAAGTCATTCTGTTTCGCTCCATTCTCTCTACATGTCCGAACCACCTCAACAACCCTTCCTCAGCCCTCTGGACAACAGTTTTGGTAATCCCGCACCTCCTCCTAACTTCCAAACTACGAATTCTCTGCATTATATTCACACCACACATTGCCCTCAGACATGACATCTCCACTGCCTCCAGCCTTCTCCTCGCTGCAACATTCATCACCCACGCTTCACACCCATATAAGAGCGTTGGTAAAACTATACTCTCATACATTCCCCTCTTTGCCTCCAAGGACAAAGTTCTTTGTCTCCACAGACTCCTAAGTGCACCACTCACTCTTTTTCCCTCATCAATTCTATGATTCACCTCATCTTTCATAGACCCATCCGCTGACACGTCCACTCCCAAATATCTGAATACGTTCACCTCCTCCATACTCTCTCCCTCCAATCTGATATTCAATCTTTCATCACCTAATCTTTTTGTTATCCTCATAACCTTACTCTTTCCTGTATTCACCTTTAATTTTCTTCTTTTGCACACCCTACCAAATTCATCCACCAATCTCTGCAACTTCTCTTCAGAATCTCCCAAGAGCACAGTGTCATCACAAAGAGCAGCTGTGACAACTCCCACTTTGTGTGTGATTCTTTATCTTTTAACTCCACGCCTCTTGCCAAGACCCTCGCATTTACTTCTCTTACAACCCCATCTATAAATATATTAAACAACCACGGTGACATCACACATCCTTGTCTAAGGCCTACTTTTACTGGGAAAAAATTTCCCTCTTTCCTACATACTCTAACTTGAGCCTCACTATCCTCGTAAAAACTCTTCACTGCTTTCAGTAACCTACCTCCTACACCATACACTTGCAACATCTGCCACATTGCCCCCCTATCCACCCTGTCATACGCCTTTTCCAAATCCATAAATGCCACAAAGACCTCTTTAGCCTTATCTAAATACTGTTCACTTATATGTTTCACTGTAAACACCTGGTCCACACACCCCCTACCTTTCCTAAAGCCTCCTTGTTCATCTGCTATCCTATTCTCCGTCTTACTCTTAATTCTTTCAATTATAACTCTACCATACACTTTACCAGGTACACTCAACAGACTTATCCCCCTATAATTTTTGCACTCTCTTTTATCCCCTTTGCCTTTATACAAAGGAACTATGCATGCTCTCTGCCAATCCCTAGGTACCTTACCCTCTTCCATACATTTATTAAATAATTGCACCAACCACTCCAAAACTATATTTAAAGTAATAAACTAAAAAATGTGAGAAAATCCAGGAAGGAAAGTAATAAGCAAAAGCAGTAAGCAGTTAGCAGGACAGTGAAAGAAAATATAAGTACAGTGGACCCTCGCCTAATGAACGCATCGCATAACGTTAAATCCGCCTAGCGATACATTTTAACGCAAAAATTTTGCCTCGGCTAGCGCTAAAAAACTCGCTCAACACGATTCGTTCAAGACACGTCCACATGCGGCCTGAGCCTGCCTCACTTGTTCCATGGGTGCCAGTGTTTACAAGCCAGCCACCGCGGTCGCTTCCAAGCATACAATCGGAACATTTCATATTATCACAGCCTTTTTAGTGATTGCACCTACAAAATAAGTCACCATGGGCCCCAAGAAAGCGTCGAGTGCCAACCCTACAGCAAAAAGAGTGAGAATTACTATTGATATGAAGAAAGAGATCATTGCTAAGTATGAAAGTGGAGTGCGTGTCTCCGAGCTGGCCAGGTTGTACACAAACCCCCAATCAACCATCGCTACTATTGTGGCCAAGAAAATGGCAACCAAAGAAGCTGTTCTTGCCAAAGGTGTAACTTTGTTTTCGAAACAGAGATCGCAAGTGATAGAAGATGTTGAGAGACTGTTATTGGTGTGGATAAACGAAAAACAGATAGCAGGAGATAGCATCTCTCAAGCGATCATATGTGAAAAGGCTAGGAAGTTGCATGAGGATTTAATTAGAAAAATGCCTGCAACTAGTGGTGATGTGAGTGAATTTAAGGCCAGCAAAGGTTGGTTTGAGAGATTTAAGAATCGTAGTGGCATACATAGTGTGATAAGGCATGGTGAGGCTACCAGTTCGGACCACAAAGCGGCTGAAAAATATGTGCAGGAATTCAAGGAGTACATAGACAGTGAAGGACTGAAACCTGAACAAGTGTTTAATTGTGACAAAACAGGCCTGTTTTGGAAGAAAATGCCAAGCAGGACCTATATTACTCAGGAGGAACATAAGCCTATGACATAAGCCCAGGACATAAGCCTATGAAAGACAGGCTTACTTTGTTGATGTGTGCTAATGCTAGTGGTGATTGCAAAGTGAAGCCTTTATTGGTGTATCACTCTGAAACTCCCAGAGTGTTCAGGAAAAACAATGTCCTCAAGGCTAATTTGTGTGTGCTGTGGAGGGCAAACAGTAAGGCATGGGTCACTAGGGACTTTTTCTATGACTGGTTACACCATGCATTTGCCCCCATCCTCAGTTGTGTAAACATTATAGGTAAGGCTTGGGAGGAAGTGACTAAGAGGACCTTGAACTCTGCTTGGAAGAAACTGTGGCCAGAATGTGTAGACAAAAGGGATTTTGAAGGGTTTGAGGCTAACCCTGGGAATCCTATGCCAGTTGAGGAATCCATTGTGGCACTGGAGAAGTCCTTGGGGTTGGAGGTTAGTGGGGAGGATGTGGAAGAGTTGGTGGAGGAGGACAATGAAGCACTAACCACTGATCATCTTCAACAGCAAGAGGCCACACCTGAGGAAACTGCTTTGGAGGAGGGGATAGAGAAATTGAAGAAGTTGCCTCCTTCAAAGATTAAGGAAATGTGTGCAATGTGGCTTAAAGTGCAAACCTTTTTTGATGAAAATCACCCTCACACAGCTATTGCAAGCCGTGCTGGTGACTATTACACTGACAATGTTGTGAAACACTTTAGGAATGTCATAAAGGAACGGGAGGTACAGGCCTCTATGGACAGATATGTTGTGCGACAGAGGTCCAGTGACTCTCAAGCTGGTCCTAGTGGCATTAAAAGAGGAAGGGAAGTAACCCTGGAAAAGGACTTGCCACCTCAAGTCCTAATGGAAGGGGATTCTCCTTCTAAACATTAACACCATCCACAGTCTCCCCTCCTCCCATTCTATCAATCATCACCAGATCTTCAACAAAGGTAAGTGTCATGTAACTGTGCATGTCTTCTTCAGTTTGTGTGTATTATAATTTATATTTCATGTGGTAAAAAAAAATTTCGTTCATAGTTTGGGGTGTCAGGAACGGATTAATTTGATTTCCAATATTTCTTATGGGGAAAATTAATTCGGCTAACGATAATTTCGCCTAACGTTGAGCTCTCAGGAACAGATTAATAGCGTTAGGCGAGGGTCCACTGTAGATGTATCCTTTTTTTTTTTTAACCATTGATTTTTTATGGCTCAAGTTTATTTTTATTTAACCCCTTGACAGTTTCGGTCATATATATATACTGTATATATATGTCTTATGAGGTAATGTGTTTGATGTATATATACTCAAAAATTCTAGTGGCTTCAGATCAAGCGGGAGAAAGCTGGTAGGCCCACATGTGAGAGAATGGGCAGCAAGCAGTGCATGATGAGAAAAAAAACTCCAACCGTGTTTTTGGATTAAAACGCCGACTTTGAGGTGTATTTTCATATAGTTTTTATGGTTATATTCTCATTTTTGTAGTCATATTTGATAGAATGGAAAACATATTATAGAAATGGAGGTGATTTTGATTGGTTTTACTATGAAAAGAACCTTGAAATGGAGCTCAAAGTAGTGGAAATGTTTGACTTTTACCGATGTTCAAGAATAAACAAATGACATCATTGTCCAGTAAATGTCCAACTAGCTATTCTGATATGTAGTCTTGAATGGGTTGACATTATTTGTACACTTATTACAATATTGCAGTAGCCTGCATAACAGTAAATCTTCTATTTTTTGTTTGAATAAAAATTAAAAATAGAAAGCAAGAGTAATATCAGAGGGGCCTGGTGACATGACTGATGAACAAAGAAAATGTTATTTTAGAGCCAGGAATGTCTGCATTGTTCATTCTGGACCCTATTTTGAAATTGGCATATTTTTTAATTTGCGTGAAATTGGCCAAATTGCCAATTTCTGACCACTTTATTGGGTAGTAGAAATTGGTAAATGGGCAGTTTCTTGTACTCAGTCGATAAAACAAATGGAGTTCTAAAGAAATAGCTATGAGTTTGGTCGACTGGAACAATGGAATTAGTCAAAAATATGGCTCAAAGTGGGTGAAATCACCGATTCGTAAATATCGCTGAGGTCGCTAACTTCATGAGAGCGTAATTCCGTAAGTTTTCCATCAAATTCCTTACTTTTGGTGTCATTACCATCGGGAAAGGATTCTCTATCATTTCATAAGAAAAAATAATTTTGTTTTTTTTTCAAATATTTTGCAACACCAGGAGACACCTCAGGATTTGGGTTCCAACAGTCAAAGGGTTAATTAAATATACCAGTAGTACCTGTATTATAATATAATTTATTAATACTGATCTTTATTTGTTAATAAGAATTCTAGCCTTGCTACCATAAACCTGAAAATTACTTTTGAAATTCTCCTGCTTTCCAAAAAATTTCATTAACAATTGATTTTCATCCAAAATATTGTATAAGCAAGATCTGAACAACAGTTATCATAAATGCATTATGTTATAAACTTTTCTTCATAAAACTAAACATTAACTGTTATACAGGATGGAATAACCCTTGTGGGTTTAGCGCTTAGTTATGATTTATCTTTTTAACATGCTGGCCGTCTCCCACCGAGGTAGAGTGACCCGAAACAGAAACACTTTCACCATCATTCACACCATCAGTCTTGCCTGAAGTGCACAGATACAACAGTTTAGATATCACTCTAAACAGCAAATATCCCAAACCCCTCCTTTAGTTATGATTGTAATAGTAATACAGGACGGAGTACCTAAAAGGATTTTCATACATTGATGAGACTTATGCCTTTGACAGTGTCTTTGAAATACGTACTTCAAAAATTAAATATAAAATTATTGGAACAACTTTTCTAAGGTATGTACATGACAGTATGTATATTAATAGCTTTTTTTTTTAATATGTATCAGTGAAATTACACAAATGAATATACAAACAGACACATACATACCAGGTATCTTAAGTTTACAACTATAAGTTGACCTCAGTCATAAGTAAAAGGATATAGTTTCAGTTAAAAAATACTATTTATTTTACACTTGAATGAGTTAGCTCGGTGTTTTTCTTTTTTAAATATTATTTGTTTTTTGTTAGTTTGATAAAAAATTGGATAGATTGAACTTTTCACTTTTGTTTAAATAGTTGTGTACAGAATCACCAGTCTTGCACAAGTGCATGAGTCACTAGTCTTGCACAAGTGCATGAGTCACTAGTCTTGCACAAGTGCATGAGTCACTAGTCTTGCACAGGTGCACGAGTCACCAGTCTTGCACAGGTGCATGAGTCACTAGTCTTGCACAAGTGCATGAGTCACTAGTCTTGCACAAGTGCATGAGTCACTAGTCTTGCACAAGTGCATGAGTCACTAGTCTTGCACAGGTGCACGAGTCACCAGTCTTGCACAGGTGCATGAGTCACTAGTCTTGCACAAGTGCATGAGTCACTAGTCTTGCACAAGTGCATGAGTCACTAGTCTTGCACAAGTGCATGAGTCACTAGTCTTGCACAGGTGCACGAGTCACCAGTCTTGCACAGGTGCATGAGTCGCCAGTCTTGCACAGGTGCACGAGTCACCAGTCTTGCACAGGTGTACGAGTCACCAGTCTTGCACAGGTGCACGAGTCACCAGTCTTGCACAGGTGCACGAGTCACCAGTCTTGCACAGGTGCATGAGTCACCAGTCTTGCACAGGTGCACGAGTCACCAGTCTTGCACAGGTGCACGAGTCACCAGTCTTGCACAGGTGCACGAGTCACCAGTCTTGCACAGGTGCATGAGTCACCAGTCTTGCACAGGCGCACGAGTCACCAGTCTTGCACAGGTGCACAAGTCACCAGTCTTGAACAGGCATATGAGTCACCAGTTTTGCACAGGTGCATGAGTCACCAGTCTTGCACAGGTGCACAAGTCACCAGTCTTGCACAGGTGCACTAGTCACCAGTCTTTCACAGGTGCATGAGTCACCAGTCTTGCACAGGTGCATGAGTCACTAGTCTTGCACAGGTGCACGAGTCACCAGTCTTGCACAGGTGCATGAGTCGCCAGTCTTGCACAGGTGCACGAGTCACCAGTCTTGCACAGGTGCACAAGTCACCAGTCTTTAACAGGTGCATGAGTCACCAGTCTTGCACAGGTGCATGAGTCACCAGTCTTGCACAGGTGCATGAGTCACCAGTCTTGCACAGGTGCATGAGTCACCAGTCTTGCACAGGTGCACAAGTCACCAGTCCTGCATAAGTGCATGAGTCACAAGTTTTATACAAGTGCTAGAACCACCAGTCTTACACAAGTACATATATATGGATCATCATTTGTAAACAAGTACATAGATCACCATCCACACTAGCACACAGATCACCATCCACACTAGCACACAGATCACCATCCACACTAGCACACAGATCACCATCCACACTAGCACACAGATCACCATCCACACTAGCACACAGATCACCATCCACACTAGCACACAGATCACCATCCACACTAGCACACAGATCACCATCCACACTAGCACACAGATCACCAGATTACACAAGTGCACAGAACTATCAGTCAGGCATACAATTATGAATGAAATTACAGTACTTTCACTTGAGTAACATAATATGTATCATGATTAGACCACAATTGGAGTCATCATAGCACAGTGTGAACTGTTCAAAAAGGATTTTGGCAGTAAAGAGTGAGATCACAACTTCTTAGGCCAGAGATATATTGCTTTATTCAAAATTGTAATCTTGGTAGGAAAATTCTTGATCAAATGCATCAAATTTTTGCTTTTGGTCATTTTTGTGCACATCACTTTTCATATTTTTTGTTATCCCTTAATTGTGCTCTTTTGATAAATGTTTCTTATTGTTCTTACATTTTTTGTTAATGTTATCCTTGAAAAGTACTTCTTAATACAATGGAAGTTTATAGGAAAAATGTGACTTTAAGAATACTTCTTTTTCTAACATAACCCATTTGTTTCAGTGGGAATAATTTTAAATACTCCAAGTGTCTTACAAGTATATGATTGTCAGAATTATTAAAACTTCAGGTGTATGAAATTAACCCATAATTCCTCTATTCAGATACTATATCAAAACATCTGAAATTGCAAATGTCTCCAAAAAAATTCTGCAAATTATAAATCTGTAGTGGAAGGAAGGCAGGGTAGGAAGGGAGGGGGTAAAGGTTTTGTGTGTGAGGAGCTTGGACTCCAGCAAGTATGCGTGAGTGTGTTAGAGAGGACCAAGTGGAGATGAATGGTTTTTATGATGACATGCTGTTGGAGTGTGAGCAAAATAACATTCATGAAGGGATTCAGAGAAACTGGTTAGCCAGACTTGAGTCCTGGAGGTTGCTAGTTCAGTGCCTGTGCTCTGAAGGAGGGGTGTTAGTATGTTCCAGTTTTTTATCTGTAGCATAGACATGCCTTCAGCAAAACAGTGATATTGAATGATGATGAAAGTGTTTCTTCTTTTTTGGGTCACCCTACCTTGGTGGGAAATGGCCAATGTGTTAATAAAAAATAAATAAAATAAATCATTTTGTCATCCACCCTCCAGAGTTGCTTGTACTAAACATTTTATATCTTCTATTTTTCATTTATTCTCTGCTGGCTTGATAAAGCCAGTAGAGAAGTTACCCACTTTATTGCTACAGGCTGGTGCATGTCTTGTAAAAAAAATGCAAGTTGCTCCTATTGTAATATTCAGTAGAAAGTGGATGATACAGTGCAGTGTCTACAGAGGTGAGAGTTTTACAAATTTTCTCAGGAAATATAACATTGGCATATCAACTGCAGGTAATATAGTGATGAAGATAGGTGAAGTGCCTACGTTATATTCAAATATTTTAGCAAGAAAAACAGTATCTATCCAAGCTAAATTTTCTAAGTTAAAATTTTTGCATGAATGGTTAGAGAGGTTCATTGCATGTGTTTAACTGATGATTTAAAATGTAAGAAAGCAAGGATTCTCATGAAGAAGTCTACCAGCAGTCCTACTCCTGCAACTCATCACTTTATTAAGCATCATCAATCTATAGCAGTCAAGTCATGTAAGCAAGAACCACTCCAATCTAATACATTCACAGAACCGTGAACATGTCAGGTCTGAGTGGAGGCAAGTGACTTTTGGAATGTTATGTGCTGCAGAAGTGTAAGCAAGGTAATATCTAAGAAGGAATTTAGGGAAACTATTTAACTGGACTTGAGTTTTGGAGGTGGGAAGTACAGTGCTTGCACCCTGAAATTGGGTGGGAATGTTGCATTTAACAGGATTATTGGAATTGTAATATCCATGGGTTTTTCTTTGGGTCACCTTACTTTGGTGGTAAATGGCCTGTATATTTAAAAAATAATGGCAGTGTTCTCTTCTGAAAAACTGCATCTTCAAGCAGTGACTTCAAGACTGTTACTCAACACCTTGTGTGGTATCGAAGACACAAAGGCTTTTTTAAGTGGATATAAATTTGGGGCATAAGGCTAGATGTATGCCTGACATAAATTACAGTATGTCATGTGGAGCTTTTTTTTTTTTTTTTTTTTTTTTTCAACCATATGATTATGTAGTGTTGGCATGCCACTAGAAAGACAGTGATAAAATGAATGATGATTAAAGTGTTTCTTTTTTTTTTGGGGTCACCTTGCCTTGGTGGGAAATGGCCGATATGTTAATAAAAAACAAAAAATGTATGTATTATATCACACCCAGTTTCTCAGAGTGGTATAAATACACTGCACTCAGTTTAGCAGAGAAAATACAAACTTACTTGCTATAGCACTGGTAATACAGTATCACTGAACATATTAACACATTCATTGGGGTGATCAGGATTTGAACTTGCAGGCTGGGATTACCAACCTGTTACCTTAGCCCACAGCATGACAAGAGGGTTATAAGGTTTTCCAACCTTAAGGAAACAGGTTGCTAATCCCAGAGCAAAGATTCAAATTTCATTCATTCCACTGAATGGTTACATTCTTTCATTACAAATTTTCAGCAAACATTTGAAGATACTTATAACCTACAATACATGTAACAATTGACAATAGCCTATTTTCTCAAAAAAATATATATTTAAACAGTTTTATTTCTAAATTATTACCTTAAGCTAAAATTATATGAATAAATTAATATCATTCCATTGCTAACATAACACAGAAAAGATTCACTCCCCTGTATAATACACAAACTTTAATCTCAGGTTATCTTAATAATATTTCAGTAAGTGGCTGCTTCAACTACTGTAATTGCTGTTTCTTGCTATTACAACACATCATTATAATTATTAAATTTACAGAGAAGAGCAGAACCCATAAGAATTATATAACATCTGTGAATTGATAAAGGCTGCGAATAAATTAATTTGATCTGAGAAAGGAAAAAATATCTATAAATTCAGTATCCAGCATTTACATACATATATCAGTAAACATTTAAGGATTTTGAATAATTTTTTTTGATGTTTCAGATCATAGATGAAATAAAATTTATAACCCCCCCTCAGAAATAAACTAATATGCCATCTAATAATGAAGGTAATCAGGTTTGATTTAACCCTTTCAGGGTTGGTGCCATACTTGTATGGCTTGTGAGCCAGGGTTGGTGCCGTACTTGTACACGTAAATTCTAGCGCCTTCAAATCGAGCGGGAGAATGGGTCTGTGTGGTCAGTGTGCACAGTAGGAAAAAATCGGGGAGCCAGTGGTGCATTGTGGGAACGCCATTTTAGTTCACCTTGTCTACCATGCCTCGTGGTAAGAAACTTCTCACTCCTCTGCGAATTGGGACTCTTTTGTTCCCAAGTGACAGTTCAGATACAGATGGTAGTGCCAGTGAAGATGAATTTCAGGGTTTTGAGGAGTTTGTGACTGAAAATAGTGAACAAAATACCGGTAATAGTGCAGAAAACCCGGATGACCCTCAACCTTCCACATCTGGTACTGGGCCATCTTGTTCACGTCCAGTTGTACCAGAATGAAAGAGAAAACTCGTATTTTCCCATGTCCAGGACTCAGATGTGAGCAGTGGTGATGATAGTGATAGTGAATATGATCTCCAAGCTCTTGAAAACAGTTCCAGTAGTGAGAGTGAGGTGGCATATTCTCCAGCGGAGCGTCAGTATGTACGACGCTACTTGCATTCGGGTAGTGTGCCATATGCTATTCCAAGGGGAAGGAGTACATCTCGGAGTACATCCTGTGGCCCTACAACAGGAATGGATAGTGAAAATGAAGATGATATTGTTACAACGGGGATGAAAAATGTGCATGCATCAGATGGTAGTGGTGCCATGTGCCATGAGGCACCAGCAGTGCCTCATGCTGGTACCCATGCCGCTGAGTCAGCTCAGCTACAACAAAGCCCACCCTCACCCACCCACCACACCATGCTCCACAACAACAACAACCTCCACAACCACAACAACCTCCACAACCACAACTGCCTGTCAAAATCCAGCACCCACCAGCAGACTGCACCTGGGAATGGAAGAAAGGTGCCAATTTTGTTCCCAATCCCCATCACTTTGATGAAAGTCAAAGTGGAATACGGCCATTTTGTACACTTGGAAACAATGCCACCGAACTGGAATGTTTCGAGTTATTCTTTGACGAACCCCTGATGGAAATTATTGTCAGGGAAAGCAATGCATACTTCGATTACACTATGGCAAACACAATTCTTTCACCATGATCACGCCTACACTAGTGGAAGGAGACAACTGTGGCTGAGATGAATCTTTTGTTTGCCACAATATTGCTTGTGCCCTATGTGTATAAGCACAGTGTCAAATCATACTGGTCGACAGACTGCCTGATTTCAACCCCAGCTTTCAGTGATATAATACCAGTGAATAGATTTGTGCTACTATTACATATGCTACACTTCTCAGACAAAACCAGGGCTAACGGAAAAGACAGGTTATGTAAGATTAGGAATGTGTTTATGTATCTGAAGCAAATTCACTGTATATTTTTATCCCTTGAGGAAGCTTGTTATTGTTGAGTCTTTGATTCTGTTCAAAGGTAGACTGTCATTCAAGCAGTATATACCAAGCAAGAGGAAACGCTTTGGTATAAAGTTGTTTCTACTCTGTGATTGCTACAGTGGTCTTGTATTGGATATTATTGTGTACACTGGAAGTAATACATTGCAGGATACCAGGAAGTTATTGGATATCTGGTGATGTGGTTAGAACAATGATGGAACCATATCTTGGTAAGGGGCATATATTATACAGTGGACCCTCGGCCAACGATATTAATCCATTCCAGAGAGCTCATCGTTAGACGAAATTATCGTTAGTTGAATTAATTTTCCCCATAAGAAATAATGGAAATCAAATTAATCCGTTCAAGACACCCAAAAGTATGAAAAAAAAAAATTTTTACCACATGAAATATATAATTTTCCTACACACAAACAGAAGGATAGATGCACAATACATGTATACATATGTATATTGTGTAATGAAGAATAAATGATGCTTACCTTTATTGAAGATGTGGTGATGGGATAGGAGGAGGGGAGATGATGGACATTAGTATTTTTTGGAAGGGGAATCCCCTTCCATGAGGACTTGAGGTAGCAAGTCCTTTTCCTTGAATTCCTGCACATATTTTTCAGCCGCTTTTTGGTCCAAACTGGCAGCTTAACCATGCCTTTTCACACTATGTATGCCACTATGATTCTTAAATCTCTCAAACCAACCTTTGCTGGCCTTAAATTCACTCACATCACCACTAGTTGCAGGCATTTTTTTTAATTAAATCGTCATACAACTGCCTTGCCTTTTCACATATGATTGCTTGAGAGATGCTATCTCCTGATACCCGTTTTTCGTTTATCCACACCAATAACAGTCTCTCAGCATCTTCGAGTACTTGCGATCTGTGTTTTGAAAGCATACTTGCACCTTTCGCAACGACAGCTTCCTTGATAGCCTTTCTGTTGGCCAAGATAGTAGCGATGGTTGACTGGGGTTTGTTATACAACCTGGCCAGCTCGGAGACACGCACTCCAGTTTCATACTTTGTGAAGATCTTCATTTCAATTGTAGTTCTGACCCTTTTTACCACAGGGTTGGCACTAGAAGCTTTCTTGGGGCCCATGGTGGCTTACTTTGCAGTTACAAGCACTAAGAACAGTGGAATAATACAAAATGTACGGAATGTATGCGACACTGGCTTGCCTGTAAACACTAGCACACTAACTGAAGGCAGGGCAGCTAAAGCGCGCTCAGGCCAGACGGGACATGTGGACGCGTTAAGGACGAATCATGTTGGTCGAGTTTTTCATCATTGGTCGGGCCAAAATTTTTATGCTCAGACGCTTTGTTAGTCGAATTTATCATTAGACAATGCCTTCGTTGATCAGGGGTCCACGGTATACTGATAACTGGTACACAAGCACCTTACTCAGTGATTTCTTGCAAGTGAACATGACAGATGTGTGTGGTACAATGCATGCAAATCGTAAGAATATGCGTAGGTTCAATGCAGGTACTTGTAGAGGTGAGGTGCAGGCGTTTGTTGTCAATGACATCATGGCATTTCGGTGGAATGGCAAACGAGATGTCACACTGTTGACATCAGTTCACTGAAACGAAATGACAGACAGTGGCAGGCAGAATTGAGAGACCAATGGACCCATTCTAAAACCTGCAGCTGTGATTGACTACACTCTGAATATGTGTTCAGTGGACAAATGTGACATGCAAATTGGGTTTGCTGATTGTTTTCGCAAGAATTATAAGTGGTACATAAAACTCTTTTTCCATCTTCTGGACATTTCCATGCTCAATGCTTATAATATGTACAAGATGAGGACCAGAAACAAACCACCATATGGCGAATTTTGTTGGTTTGTCATCAGACAAATGATATTCAAGTACCATGTAACAACACCTGCAATAGAAAAGTGCCCAGGAAATTAACAACAACTACCCTCTCCTCTCAGGCCTGGTGATCACTACCTAAACTGCCTCCTACTACTATGAAGAAAAAGGCTCAGAAGAGGTGTTTTGTCTGTACACATACAAAAAAATGCAAAGGCACTTGTTTTATGTGTGAGGAGTGTAAAACACCACTGTGCATGACACCATGTTTCAAAGACTTCCACAAGCTGCAACAATTCTAGGAACATGTCCAGTGACTTTATATGTGTAAATATATAATAGAAAAATAGTGCCGGTTTGTGTAAATATGGTTTGTAAACAATATAATGACAACATTGTTTGTGCAGTTACTGTGTATCATACAATGATTAAATATTTATAAAACTTATGTTATACTGGTTTCATAAACTATAAAAGTTACTTGAAAAAAAAAATTAGAAAAAAAAAATAAACAATTGCCACGTGATTGGCAGTCTGCAATGTTGCTGTAAGCAGTTCATTTTTCTGTCAACTTCATGCCTCCATATCTCGATAAGTACTAATCGCAAAAAAAAAAAAAATTGGCCTATAACATTCATAAAAATCATTCTCTATCATTTCATAAGAGAAAATAATTTTTTTTTTCTAATACAGCCTCTCCTCAGTTAACGACGGAGTTCCATTCCTGAGACCATGTCAGTAAATGAATTCGTCGCTAAGTGAGAAGTATACTATAATGGTAGTGGGTTTGTGTCAACCATCTTTGATAATGTTTTAATGTCACCTTTGCACCATTTATAACAGTTTTAGTATATTTTTAAATGTTTATACAATAGTGTACTGTTATTTTTTATTTTTTATTAGCACACTGGCCGATTCCCACCAAGGCAGGGTGGCCCAAAAAAACAAAACTTTCACCATCATTCACTCCATCACTGTTTTGCCAGAAGGGTGCTTTACACTACAGTTTTTAAACTGCAACATTAACACCTCTCCTTCAGAGTGCAGGCACTGTACTTCCCATCTCCAGGACTCAAGTCCAGCCTGCCTGTTTCCCTGAATCCCTTCATGAATGTTACTTTGCTCACACTCCAACAGCACGTCAAGTATTAAAAACCATTCGTCTCCATTCACTCCTATCAAACACGTTCACGCATGCCCGCTGGAAGTCCAAGCCCCTCGCACACAAAACCTCCTTTACCCCTCCCTCCAACCTTTCCTAGGCCGGCCCCTACCCCACCTTCCTTCCACTACAGACTGATACACTCTTGAAGCCACTCTGTTTTGCTCCATTCTCTCTACATGTCCAAACCACCTCAGCAACCCTTCCTCAGCCCTCTGGACAACAGTTTTGGGAATCCCGCATCTCCTCCTAACTTCCAAACTACGAATTCTCTGCATTATATTCACACCACACATTGCCCTCAGACATGACATCTCCACTGCCTCCAGCCTTCTCCTCGCTGCAACATTTATCACCCATGCTTCACACCCATATAAGAGCATTGGTAAAAACTATACTCTCATACATTCCCCTCTTTGCCTCCAAGGACAAAGTTCTTTGTCTCCACAGACTCCTAAGTGCACCGCTCACCCTTTTCCCCTCATCAATTCTATGATTCACCTCATCTTTCATAGACCCATCTGCTGACACGTCCACTCCCAAATATCTGAATACATTCACCTCCTCCATACTCTCTCCCTCCAATCTGATATCCAATCTTTCATCACCTAATCTTTTTGTTATCCTCATAACCTTACTCTTTCCTGTATTCACTTTTAATTTTCTTCTTTTACATACCCTACCAAATTCATCCACCAACCTCTGCAACTTCTCTTCAGAATCTCCCAAGAGCACAGTATCATCAGCAAAGAGCAACAGTGACAACTCCCACTTTATGTGTGATTCTTTATCTTTTAACTCCACGCCTCTTGCCAAGACCCTCGCATTTACTTCTCTTACAACCCCATCTATAAATATATTAAACAACCACGGTGACATCACACATCCTTGTCTAAGGCCTACTTTTACTGGGAAATAATCTCCCTCTTTCCTACATACTCTAACTTGAGCCTCACTATCCTCATAAAAACTCTTCACTGCTTTCAGTAACCTACCTCCTACACCATACACCTGCAACATCTGCCACATTGCCCCCCTATCCACCCTGTCATACACCTTTTCCAAATCCATAAATACCACAAAAACCTCTTTAGCCTTATCTAAATACTGTTCACTTATATATTTCACTGTAAACACCTGGTCCACACATCCCCTACCTTTCCTAAAGCCTTCTTGTTCATCTGCTATCCTATTCTCCGTCTTACTCTTAATTCTTTCAATAATAACTCTACCATACACTTTACTAGGTATACTCAACAGACTTATCCCCCTATAATTTTTGCACTCTCTTTTGTCCCCTTTCCCTTTATACAAAGGAACTATGCATGATCTCTGCCAATCCCTAGGTACCTTACCCTCTTCCATACATTTATTAAATAATTGCACCAACCACTCCAAAACTATATCTCCACCTGCTTTTAACATTTCTATCTTTATCCCATCAATCCCGGCTGCCTTACCTCCTTTCATTTTACCTACTGCCTCACAAACTTCCCCCACACTCACAACTGGCTCTTCCTCACTCCTACAAGATGTTATTCCTCCTTGCCCTATACATGAAATCACAGCTTCCCTATCTTCATCAACATTTAACAATTCCTCAAAATATTCCCTCCATCTTCCCAATACCTCTAACTCTCCATTTAATAACTCTCCTCTCCTATTTTTAACTGACAAATCCATTTGTTCTCTAGGCTTCCTTAACTTGTTAATCTCACTCCAAAACTTTGTTATTTTCAACAAAATTTGTTGATAACATCTCACCCACTCTCTCATTTGCTCTCTTTTTACATTGCTTCACCATTCTCTTCACCTCTCTCTTTTTCTCCATATACTCTTCCCTCCTTGCACCACTTCTACTTTGTAAAAACTTCTCATATGCTAACTTTTTCTCCCTTACTACTCTCTTTACATCATTATTCCACCAATTGCTCCTCTTCCCTCCCGCACCCACTTTCCTGTAACGACAAACTTCTGCTGAACACTCTAACACTACATTTTTAAACCTACCCCATACCTCTTCAACCCCATTGCCTATGCTCTCATTAGCCCATCTATCCTCCAATAGCTGTTTATATCTTACCCTAACTGCCTTCTCTTTTAGTTTATAAACCTTCACCTCTCTCTTCCCTGATGTTTCTATTCTCCTTGTATCCCATCTACCTTTTACTCTCAGTGTAGCTACAACTAAAAAGTGATCTGATATATCTGTGGCCCCTCTATAAACATGTACATCCTGTAGTCTACTCAACAGTCTTTTATCTACCATTACATAATCCAACAAACTACTGTCATTTCACCCTACATCATATCTTGTATACTTATTTATCCTCTTTTTCTTAAAATATGTATTACCTATAACTAAACCCCTTTCTATACAAAGTTCAATCAAAGGGCTCCCATTATCATTTACACCTAGCACCCCAAACTTACCTACCACACCCTCTCTAAAAGTTTCTCCTACTTTAGCATTCAGGTCCCCTACCATAATTACTCTCTCACTTGGTTCAAAGGTTCTTATTATTATGACCCTGTATATTGTAATAAACAGAAAAGACAAAATCAGCTGTAATATACATTATTTAGGTATGCATACTGGACAGAGAGCCCATCGTAAATCCGAGTCATTGGTAAACGAGTACGTCGCTAAGTGAGGAGAAGCTGTGTTTTTCGACCCTCAGAATGAGCTTACGATCATGCCTCTCGACACACTGTGTCTGTGCATAACAGAGCTTCTGCTGTATCACATTGTTATTATTGCTGTTATATACATGGAAAAGCAGTGACCCTGCATAGGATCATACAGCATCTCTGGAATGTAAGATAATTTTGTTTGATCTAAGGAAAATGTTTACTCTAATTCCTTGGATCAAGAGCCCTTCACTAGCATTATGGCACCTTACTCTGAAGAAGCATTGCATTGTAGTCTTCCAAAAACTACAGAAGTCTGATACAAAAAATTATGGTATATAATGATTTTCTAGCGATTGTTACCAAAATATTTCTTATCTTTAGTGTAGTTATTAGTCATGCACTATGAAATAGTACCACATGCAGTGTTAGTTCAAAAGTTAGTCTAAAGTGCAAGAGTAACAACTTTTTAAAATATTTCCTATTACTGTACCTTTGCTGCCTGACAGTGAAGTAAGTTTTGTTCACCAAAATGGTTTACTGATGCTGTATTGTGAAAAGATATTTTTGCAAAATTTACACAAATTGGTGATAAGATTTAGATAGCATTTCTGTCCATCCTGTACTATTATATTCCTGGGGAAGCAGTATACATGTAGAAGTCATATAGTGTCTGGGGAATGGGAAGTAATCAAGTTTAGTATAAACTTTTGTAACTGATACCAACAAGTGGTTTAAAAAGACACAGCAGCAGCAAACACTAGGACATATTTATTAGAAAATGTTTTAGTCCAGGGACATTGAATAAAAAAGGGTCAAGAATGATTGTTGTATATACAGTGGACCCCTGCGAATTCACAGTTCTGAATTCACAGCTTCAGTAATTCGCAGATTTTTCTTTAGAACCTTACTTGTTCGTGGAAATCCTAACAGATTTGCGGATTTTTTTTGTGACAATATATAATTTTTTGTGTGTTGTATGCATTTTAATGGTATCATTCATTATTGTTGAGTACCCATACATTTAACTTAACTTTTACTAAATTAAATTATTACCGTATATTTACCATACGTATACCAAAGAAAACGGGCTTGCATGAATTACAGTACATATGGGGGTAACATCGATATTTTACATTCTAGCACTGCGGGAGATGTATTAAGCTGAGTTTGAAATTAAATTAAAAGTGTTCTGGGGGCATATTTAGAGTTTAAACTATAAAAATAGGAATCTATAGGCATTTTTTAACCGCATCCAGAATTCACGGTTTTTCCAAATTCGCGGGTGGTCTTGGAACATAACCCCTGCAAATATGGGAGACTACTGTACAGTCATTCTTGTCCCTTGTTTGTTAGAAATGGTCAAGGTTCCAGGATTGAGACACTTTCTAATATATATGTTCTAATATTTGCTAACATCTCCATAGGGAAGTGGAGAAGAATCCTTCCTCCATAACCCATGTGTGTCATAAGAGGTGATCAAAATGCCAGAACCAAGGGGCTAGTAACTCCTGTATAAATTACTAAATGTAAAAAAGAAAACTTGTTTCATCTTTCTTGGGTCACACTGCTTTGGTGGGAGATGGCTGGCGTGTTAAATAAATTTTTGCTCACATGTCTTTTAAAATCACTTATTAAGTTTGATCTGAGGAAGGAAAGGTAGCTTTGATTATCTAGTCCTTTACCATCATGAAGTTGTGCATCCAGGACGAACCAAAACATCATCTAAATTTCATCTCTACAATGTAGGTTAACAGAACTGTTCCTGCCATGGTTTTGTGACTTATTCTTTACAATTTACCAGATCAGAATAACATGGTAAACATCTCTTGTATTGTAAGGTTAGTATACAAAATTTTGGAAAAGAAAAATGGCAGCATAGGGTTCAACATCTATGATACAATTTATTATAAGCACATGCTGGTGAAATCTTTTGTAATTTACATGGTGGCTGCACTGCGATAAATGTCCGCTACTGATGTATTGCACATCACTCTACTAAGTGAAAATAGATGCATGGAGATCTACCAAACTCAACAAAAGTCTGGGATGTTGTGTGTATGAAGAATATACAAAATTTTTCAGTCTGGATAAACAGGCCTGGTTTGAGATCAGGCCTGTTCTGAGACTAGGCCTCATCTCAAGACCAGTTTATGGGGGGTAATGACCTCCCTGAGTCATTAACAGATAGCTAGTTCTTGGTTTTCCACAGTGTCAAGAGATACCAGTATTATGTTAAAAGTGAGACTCAAATTCTTATTTCTGTTATTATATTAATATCTGGACAATTTCCAGACTTATGTATCTAAAAGCAAGTTTAGTAATGAGGAATCTGCACTAAGACTACTTCAGTGAGGCAGACAGTCAGGGGTATGTGGATGGTAAGTGCAAGAAACAAATGAACAAAGACAATCTACTAGTCCTCTACTTAGGACACTGGTAGTGGGCAAATTGTATAACACAGAACAGTTAGGAGTTAAAGGCACATATGCAAGAATATTACACCAAGGAACCCAAGCTAAACCATGAGTGGCGTGAGTTGCGTGCAGACTTCCTACTGGATGCGAGAGCCATCTTACTCTGGTTGTCCTGCGGTCTTAGTGTTCGTTCCAGAACTGTATTTATAGCCTGCATCCATCGTGATCTCTCATCCAACGTGGGAGCAGACATGACAAAGGTTCTCTCAGGAGTTGTGAGGGAGAAGGAGAAGTCATGATCCTTGCATCCTCTTGGGACTCCTTCCTGAATACTATAGTTATCATCCTTGTAACCCAGAAATATTTCTCCTCTAGGATAAGCATCCTGCAATAGTAAAACAATTGACATTTTGGGTACTGCACAATGACTATATGCACTGTCAGTGCAATAATTATTGCAGTATACTATTATCTAATTTATATGACTATAAACTATTTTCAGAAAATTTTCTACTACAGTACAATATTAGTGAGACAACTGGTATTGTACTGGTTTCCCTGAATCCTTTCACAAATGTTATTTTCCTCACACTATAACTAGACTTACTGTCAACAGTAATTTATATTTTTCTTCCAGTGTGGTTTCTATACATCTTTATATAAGCTATAAGCAAGTCAAATTTGTCTCAGTACAAATCTGTCTAATGTCAAATTTGTCTCAGTACCTGGTCAGTACCTGACCAGCCAGTCTGTGGTTCATATATCAGTCTATGTGTGGCCAGCAGTAAAAGGCTGGTCGATTAGGCCCCGATCCACCATGAGGCCTGGTCACAAACTAGGCTGCAGGGACACTGACCCCCGAAACTAACCATACCACGGGCGGGGATAGAACCCGCGATCAGAGTCTCAAAACTCCAGACCGTTGCATTAGCCACTGGAGTTTTGAGACTCTCTGATCGTGGGTTCTATCCCTGCCTGTGGTATGGTTTGTTTGCAATCGTGTCATTACGATTTCGTGAGGCACCCCCGAAACTCTCTGTAGACATACTCCAGGCAACTACTGTAACCAAATTTATACATACTAACTTGTACAAAAAACTTATTTACAAATAACCTGCACTTAGGAGAGGAACCTTTTAATGTTATCACAGGCTTTAAGTTAATTTTGAAAATCATTCTCAAAATATTTTCCAAAAACAAAGGAGTAGGATAATAAAAGTATGATCCTATGGTAACCCAACTAGAGATACCCTATAAACCAGTCACCAGGAATTTATTACACACCAAACCACAGAATATGTGGGGTTTGAACCCATGGCAAGTGAATCCTAAAGCTCCAGGCCATGGGTTCAAACCCCACCCATTCCGTGATTTGTTCGCAATCGTGTTGCAAACAAACCACGGAATGCAGTGCTGCGGTGTTCCTTCTTTCTTATATGGTACTACAATTTCAAGAGTCATGGTGGCGGCTTTGAGAGGAAATTCATTACACGTAAAGATATTAAAGTTATGCTAAATATTACATACCATTGGACCTTCATGATACATGAGCTTACGATCATCAAGAATAAACCACCGTTTTCTGTAGGCATCTCTCTCACTGGGGCCTGTCTTTGAGAGCCAACCCTCAATAACGAAGTCATTGGTTAGGTATGGTACCAGCTGCAGGGTTAGAATTTAAGGTGATATATGAATAAAAAATAAAATACAGTAAAGTTAAATACTATAATATATACTTGTATATATTTTTTGGGGGGTCACCCTACCTTAGTGGGAGACAGCTAGTGTGGTAAAAAAAAAAGTGTAAGTAGCACCATACATTTTTTTTTTACATTGGCTATTTCCCATAAAGGAGGAGTGAACCAAAGAAGATAACATATTCACCATCACGAATAATTTATAATATATCCATGTCGTACATTCAAACTATGAACATGTAGTTATTTAATAAAACAATAAAGCTAAATCAGGAACAGTGTCATTATTTTGAAAGCAATCTCAGCTTTGTTTCATTCACACATCATGTTTTTCCCAACTGAATAACAGAACACAATGGTTCTAGTGACTTTTCTACTTTTCATCATTAATATTTTCCTACTTTTGCTCTCAGCACATAGCCTTAGCATAATTAACTAAAGTGTCCTAATGTGAAGCCACATTATGACACCTCTGTCCTTAACAATTTTTATTGCTTTAATATTTCCTTTCCAGTTAAGAAGGCCTGGTCCAAGACCAGATCACAGTGGTGATGATTCAAAGAACCATTAACAGACAACAGACATTGAACTTACTTCTTCAGCAGCAACACTGGGATATGCTACCATAAGCCAGTTTAACTTTATGCTTCTTATAGCCATGTACCACTGAATAATTGTTTCCCCGCTCTCATGGTATACGTAAATGTGTCGTGTAGAACCGTCGCACATATATGACAACTGGAGACCGTTGTCTTGGTTCATTTTGGCTGGGGCTAAGCACACATTCAATTCAGATAATGGTATTGTTGCTTTTGGCTCCTTTGAATTCTGAAGTGACCATAAAAGAACAATGTAGCGTTAGATAAGGTTTAGTAGATCTACAACTTGCATATGCATCGAGTTACATAAATCTACCGATGCCTCTAGCACTCCTCACAGCCCTTTGTACCTCTCCCTCTTGCTACCCTCTACCCCTGCACTATCCACTGCCTCACTGCACTCCATGACCTAATAATAATCCCTCTCCCTTCTGCTACCCAATGCCCCTGCATCCTTCCCTGCGCTGCTGCGCTGTATGACCCTTGTAGCTTTAGCGATTCTTTTTTATTATAATAATAATACATACACTCAAAAGTTAAAATTTCACAACTGCCAAGTTGTAGTACTACTACAAGCATGAACAAAAGATAACCATCATTTACAAAGTACTAATGTTTTGTATGCAAACAATTTGTTTCAAGCTTCAAAAACAAGTATTTCATTTATTCATAAATTGGAGAAATCTTGTATATATTGAAAATGGAGGACAGCTACAGTATTAAATAATTATTATGTTAATTTAAAGCCCTAAACCTGTAAGGGTTATACAGCACTGCATGACAAAGGGGAAAGATAACAACAGATACAATACTAATGGTCCCAGTACTGAAAGTTCTTCAGCTTCAGGCTACAAATACACTGACATTTGTATTACTATACAGTGTAACTTATTTATCATTATACTGGATATCAATACAGTATTCAACTACAGTAATTCACTTACAATAATGATTATTTTATTATTATTATTATTCCTCTTCAAGGGGGCTCCTTGGCATGGTGAAAAGGCTCTTGGTCTGAGGAATTAAACCTCTTGGTCTCCTTCCTCAGACCAAACATATTTACCCCCCAATGCCCCCTTCCCTATCCCATCCTCCCCATACCCCCCTTTCCCTTTCCTCCTCCCCTCCCTTATCCCCTTCCTTTGGGATTCTCCCCACAGAGATTCTAGTTCCTAGGTAGGGGGACAGATACCGTGGTCCATCCCATTCCGTTGGGGTCCTTGGCGATGGTGTAGTTTGCTGTGGAATCTGGATCACCTGGGGATGTCCCAATCCCTCTCCAGTCTCCTGGGTGGTGGCTTTGGGTGTCTTTCGGGTGATGGGCGTATCTTTGGAGGCTGCCCTTCGGATTCCGGAGGGGTGGTGGTCAAAGGAGGTATGCTTTGTGGCAGGTGTCCGGCTGCCCTCTCTTTTGTCCACCGAGGTGGCTTGGTAGATGTGAGGTTGCTATCCCAGATTTCTGGTTTACTGGCATGAAGGGTAGGGTATCACACAGGTTCCATGCTGCATCTGCACTACTTGTAGTGCTGAGGTCCTCTTGGGTGCGGAAGGGGATTTACGGCCCTTTCATTCCTCCTAGGAGCTATCCCTCCATGGTACCCCCTTTTTTTTTTTCTTTTTTTCTAAAAAACAAAACAAAAACAAAAAAGTGACAAAACCATGGAGTCCCAAACCCATGAAACAGATCCCTCCTGGACCCCTTTCTGCTAGTGCACCTGTTCTGACCCTACCTCATTATCTGACCACTCTTTGAACATTTCTAATGCCCCTGTACTTCCTGCTGGTGCCGTTTCATCATCCACTCCAGGTACCGGGGTTCTGCCTTACTCCTTTGATACATCTGACCTCCGCACTTCTTTGACTGTGCTTCCGGCTTCTCCCTCTGCGGTGCGGCGATTTTCAGATCTCCCGCCCATCCCACATCGGACCAACTCCGACTCCCACACCTAAATACCCAAGACCATTACCTGATGATACTCCTTTGCTTCCTTCTCATTCTGCCCAGAAAAGACCAGCACAACACGCCCTTCCCTTACACGCTATGCTTCAAAATACACAGTGGACTAAGTTTCTTACTCTGTGACCGACTTCCTCTACTGCCTATCTTTCCAATCGTAGTATTGACAAAGCACTCTTACACAATGTTGGTAGAGATATATCCTTTCATGCTCTCGAGAGCGGTACACGCATCGTCATGGTCCAGAATGCTAGCAAAGCTCATGATCTTTCTCTCCTTACAACCATAGATGCTATTCCTGTAACTATTGAAAAACATCACTCTCTCAATTCTTGTAGTGGTACTGTCATTCTACTTCATACCATTGTCCAACAGAATTTCCAGGCATATGGTGATGACATTCTGGAACAGCTTGAGCTCCAAGACCTCCCAGTCCTCCAAGTAGACATTTATGTCCTCCCTGGCCGCAGGCAGAGACAGTACTCTTGCAATGTAGCTCGCTAAACTTTTGACTGCTGTGAGCTTCTGTCCTCGGTTTATATTGCAGGACACCGTTTACAAGTTTGAAAGGTGATCAATACACCACAACAGTGTAGAAACTGCTGGCATTTTGGTCATCCAGCGAAATATTGCAGGTCCATGGCTGAATGCCCAGTCTGTGGTGCTGACGACCATACCAACACATCTTGTAGTCTACCTCCCTCTTGCCTTAACTGTCATGAGGCTCACCCATCTTACTCTCACTGTTGCCAAGTTTACTTAAATGAGTGAGAAATCCATTGCCTCAAAAGGCAGAAGGCTTCCCATGTGGTATGGCAGTCTCTCATTTATGCCTCCAGGGAAGACTTTCTGTATTTCTTATTCTCAAATTACTGAATGCCCTCCTACCTCTGGGGTCCCAGCTTCTGCAGCCTCCTCTGTGGTCACCCCTTTCACAGTCACCTCTATCTCTAATTCTTTTGCTGTCCTGGACTCAGAGGTCCCTACCTCGACACCTCATTCTGTTCTAACCTCTTCCTCTTCTCACTCACGAGTTTCTGTGTCTACAAAACCACGTACAACACCTCCCCATCACCCCTCTACTTCTCCTAAGTCCAAAAAATCCCTACTCTTAAAATCTCCTTTAACCCCTCCTTCACTTCTACTTACACATTTTTCCTTTCCAGTCTCTGTACCTGGTTCTTCACCTCTAACTGGCTCTGTTACGAGTGTGGAGGTTCATCCTCCCCCTCATACAGTACCTTCCTCCCCTGTCCTCTCCCAAGCTCCTTTCTCTTCTGCCCCCTCCCAGATTGCTTCCTCTTCTGTCCCCTCCCAAGCTTCTTCTCCAGTTCCCTCTACCCTTTCGTCCCTCCCTACTTTGGTACAGTCCATTATCGCCCCGATCACTGCTCACCCTCCTCCTTCCCCTTCAATATCATCCCACATACAACGTCCTTGTCCTCTAAAACACTCGAAGCTATCTCTGAATATATTGAGGAGACTAGACCATTGATGGACACTGATCTTCCTCCTTTTCACTCTTCTCCATCTGCATAACTCCTTTCTTCACAACATCCCAATTCTTCGCTGCTTGAACATTTTCCGCTGCCTCCACATGTGGACTTTTCTAACCTTTCTAGTCCATAGATACCTCTACCTTCAGATGTCTTGTATCTTTCTCTTCACAAATCATGGCTTATTTACAGTGGAATATCTGTGGCCTCAGAGGTAACCGGAGTGAGCTTCAGGTGTTGCTCTTCCAGTTTTCTCGTTTATGTTTGTTTACAAGAGCCCAAATTACAGTCTGCCATTATCCATCCCATCTTGGGCTATGATTCATTATATTCATTGGATCCTTTTCCCGATGGAACCTTTAATGAAAGTGCACTTCTTATAAACACCGGTATTCCATATCATCAGCTCTTTGTTTATACTCCACTGCATTACACTGCAACCTGTATCCACTGGAGCAAGTGGTATAAAATCTGTTCTTTGTATCTCTCTCCTTCTCGGGCATTATCTATCCCAGATGTTACATTTCTGGTTTCCTTACTGCCACCACTTCTTTTACTTGGTGATTTTAATGCCCACCATTTCCTCTTGGGGGGGTCTCACTGTGATTACCGCGGCATTCGGTTGGAGGCTTTTCTCGCTTCTCTCCCCCTCTATGTTTTAAATACATACAGGTACTTCCACCCATTTTGATCCTCGTACTCATTCTCTCTCTTGCATCAATCTCTTGGTTTGCTCTTCCTCAACTGTACTGGACTTCACCTGGTCTGTCCTGCTGGACTTGCATGACAGCGATCATTTTCCAATCATCCTTACTTCTCCTTTGTATTCACTACCTCCTCATAGCCCACGCTGGCAGTTTGACCAAGCGAATTGGGACCTTTACTCGTGTCAAACTGCTTTTAGTGAGAATCCTTCTTCGTCCTCCATTGATGAGATTTTACACCTCTTCTTGACCTCAGTTTTAACCGCAGCTTCACATTCTATTCCCCAAACCTCGGGCAGGCATTCTCAGAAGTGCATGCCTTGGTGGTCTTCTGCTTGTGCTTGGGCAGTATGTTTGAAACGCGCTACATGGGGCACATACCAGTACAATGGAACCACAGAGAGACTCCACGATTTTAAGCAGAAGAAAGCGGTCATTTGCCATGTCATCCGTGATGCTAAACTAGCTTGCAAGATTATGCTTATACCGTCACTTCGGCTTCCTCTATGAGTCCAGTCTGGAAAAAAGTATGGAAATTGAGTGGTAAATACTCTCCTGATCCAGCTCCTGTTCTTCAGGTTGCTGGTGTCGCTATTGCAAACCCTCTTGACACTGCCACCAAAATTGGTAATCATCTTGTCCGTATCTCTCAGGGGCTTCATCTATGCCCCTCGTTTCTTTCTTCCAAGTCTACCACAGAGTTAGAGCTCTTAAACTTTTCTTCTATCAGAGAAGAATCTTATGTGCCTTTCACACTTCTGAAACTGGAGGCAACACTCTCCGCCTGCCGATCATTGGCAGCTGGGCCTGACAGCATTCATATTTGTATGCTACAGCATTTACATCAGTCAGCCCTTGCTGTCCTCTTACGACTCTTTAATCTTATTTGGTCACAAGTTCTTCCACAGCTGTGGAAATCTGCCATTGTTTTCCCTTTTGCAAACTGGGTACTACAGGATATGATGCCTCCCACTATCATCCCACTGCTCTTACCAGTGCAGTTTGCAAGGTGATGGTATGTCTGGTAAATAGACATTTGATGTGGTATTTAGAGATGCACAATAGTCTCTCCACTTGTCAATGTGGTTTTAGTAAGGTCCATTCTACCATTGACCCCTTACTATGCTTGGATACGTATGTTCGTAATGCCTTTGCCAATAACTACTCAGTTATCGCCATCTTTTTTGACCTTGAGAAGGCATATGACACAACTTGGAGGTATAATATCTTGGCCCAGGCCCACTCCTTAGGCCTCTGAGGCTATCTACCATTTTTCCTTAAGAACTTTTTAACTGAGAGACATTTCCGTGTTCGGATTAATAATATGCTCTCCCCAGACTTTGTCCAAGCTGATGTGTTCTGAGCACAACACTTTTTCTCCTTGCTATATATGATCTGGCATCTATTCTTCCATCCAATATTTGATCATCACTCTATGTTGATGATTTTGCTATAGCTTGTGCAGGCATTGACTGTTACCTCAATGCAGTCTCTCTCCAGCATGCTGTCAACCATGTTTCCAGTTGGGCCACTACTCATGGGTTTAAATTTTCTAGTACTAAAACTCACCAAATTACTTTCACTAGATGTTCTTCTCTCATCATCCACTGTACCTATATGGCTCACGTATCCCAGAACGTAATATGGTCAAATTTTTCGGCCTTCTGTTTGACCATAGGTTATCTGGAAACCTCACGTTACCTCTCTGAAGGCAATTTGCCATAGCCAGCTGAACCTCCTTAAAACCCTCACTCATCTTTCATACGGGGCTGATCATAGAACTCTCCTTCGGCTACATTCAGCCCTAATTTTATTGAAACTCGATTATGGCGACCAGTTACATTCAGTGGCCTCTCCTGCAACTCCTATTAGCCTTAATCCCATACATCACCAGGGATTACGTTTATGCCTTGGTGCTTTTCACTCTTCACCAGTTGAAAGCCTTTATGCAGAGGCGAATATTCCAGTCTTGACCGATCGCCGTGATGCTTATTGCCTTCGCTGTTATGTTCACTCTCATGACCTCCACAATCCTTCCATATACATGTATAGGATAGTCACTGATGTTAGTAGACATTCTTTATTTGTTTCGTTGCCCCTGTTTACTCCGTCCCTTTTCTTTTCTACATTCGCTCTTGTCTTCTCTTCATTTACCACCTTTCTATGTTCATGTAGCATCTCACTTTTCCCTACCCCCTTGGGAAGTTCCAATGGTTCGTGTTTTTTCTTTCCCACTGCCATGCGCGAAAGTCCAACTGCCTATGGAGGCTTCTTGCTCTCTTTTTCTTAACCACTTCCGATCTCATTCTCATGCCATCGCAGTGTACACCAGTGATTCCAAGTCTTCTGACGGCTTTGAATTTGCAGCAGTGTTTCCAGACAGCGTCGTGTGAGGGCATTTATTATCCTTTGCTAGCATTTTTACGGCTGAATTGTATGCCATTCTTGTACCACTTATCTGTATTGCATCTATGCCTGTGTCACCATTTGTGGTAGTTTCAGACTCCCATAGTGCTTTTCAGGCTATAAGAAAATTTGATACATCTCATCCCCAGGTTCTTCATATCTAACTTTGGTTATGCCATATCTCAAGCAAGCACAAAGATATTGTTTTTTGTTGGGTCCCCAGTCATGTCGACACACAGGGCAATGAACAGGCAGACACTGCTGCACGATCAGCAGTACATGACCTCCCAGTTTCATATAGAGGTGTTCCCTTCACAGACTATTTTGCTGTAATTGCTACCCATCTTCTCACCCATTGGCAATGTTTGACTGATATACTACATAACAAATTACATTCTAATAAACGAAGTGTGGGTTTCTGGCTGTCTTTTTGTCATTATTGTCGAGGATGGGAGACTACTCTCTCCCGTCTTCACATCTGCCACATTTGTCTTACTCATGGATATCTCATGGAGAGGTGCCCTGTTCCACTCTGTGAAAATTGTCAGGTTCCAGTTTCTGTTAGCCATATTCTGTTGGACTGCTCACTATCAACGAGCACGCAGAATTTACCTCCAACGTCGTCGCTGCTCTACTCTGTACTCCACGACCTAATAATAATCCCTCTCCCTCTTGCTACCCAATACCCCTGCACCTTTCCCTGCCCTGCTGCACTGTATGACCCTTGTAGGTTTAGCACTTAATAATAAAATATTATTATTATTATTATTATTATTATTATAATATTCATGGAGAAGAGCAAAACTCATGATGGACATACATCAGTAAGGGAACAGAAGAGGTGGAAATATAGAAATCAGGTTTGATTTGAGGAAAGGGAGAATAACTAATCCCTTGGAACACAAACCCTTCATCATCATCATCACCAAGGCATTCCCCCCTCCCCCATTTGAAGGGTTACACTGTAAAGCTGAATAAATAATACCTCATTGCCAACAGTAAAAGCGAACTCACCATCCGAACACTGGTACAGAAAATAGTGCTTTTAAATGCTTTCTACACAGTCAAAAATAATAAATAATATGCTTAACTTAAAACAAATTTGCATTTTTTTACATACAAATGCTAATGTATATTGTTTATAGCCTTTTTATATGAGTTAACCTTTAATGGCCCTTATGTAACTGATGATCCTTATACCAGATAAGCTTATTTGGTTATACTGTACGTATGTATGAGGGTTTGTCTCCTAACAACAATACTGTGCAGAAATAAAACACAAATACAAAATCTGCACTAACCTCTTTACTATAATATTTTAAAGATTTGTCAGATATTACAAATTTACGGGGAAAATATTTGTTTTCATCTCTGGCTTTTTTCATGAGGGTTCCTTCCATTGAATTATTCGTGATGTACGTCTGCTTGTCAACACTCATGAACTCCTGCCGCTCGTACTTTGCACGTATCCATTGTTCCAGCAATACTCTGCAATGTATATGCATCGTGACAAAGAAGCTTGTAAGACCATTATATATAAAATAAATAAAGGTAAAGTGCTGTTAAACATTTTTACACTTGAAAATAAAATATAGTAGTCCTTTGCTTTATCAGGGATGGTTTATGCAAATTTGCTTTTATATGACATCCCATTTCTTTGAGAAATTTCCTTTGTACAATAGGAGTTCACCCCATACTACTGTCTCAGTGCGGTTCACAACGTAATAAAGATTTCAATAATGGAGAGTTTGAGGATGGTAACATTTCCGAATCAATTCAGGAAAACTGTTTAGTCGAACTTGAGTCCTTGATGTGGGAAGTACAGTGCCTGCACTCTAAAGAAGGAATGAAGTTGTTGCAGTTGAGAGGGGTATCTGAATTGTGATGTCAGCATATTTCTGGCAAGATAGTGAGTACGTGAATGACAGTGAATGCCTTTCCTCTTTTTTTGGGTCACTTGACCTTGGCGGGAGATGGCTGGTGTGTTAAAAAAAAAAAGAATATGACTGTGATTACTGCAGCTCCCATAGGTCTGGAATAGGTCTACTGAATAAAGTGAGAAACACCTGTATGTTGGATGCACCACACTGGTGATAAATTTTGATGTATCTGAATAGTGCTAGATGCTACCTGAATTCATCTCACCTATGACAACATTCTTCAGTAATACAAAATATGATACTTGACCATATCATTATTATTATTACTGATATTCATAGGGAAGCAGCAAACCCATAGATGTCATAGAGTACCTAGGAAATTGGAGGTAATCCTGTTTGATCCAAGGAAGGGGGAAGGTAACTCTAATCCCTTGGACCGAGACCCTTAACCAGCATCAGTAACCCCCTCTCCCCCATACTTCAATGATACTGTACTGACACTACCATATACCCCTGAAGTGGTTTATTCACATCACAAAAACTGAAACTGGTGAAGGACTCTTGATCCAAGGAAATGGAGCTACTCTCCCCTTTCTTTGATCAAACCTAATTACCTCCCATTCCCAGGTGTGATATGTCCCTTACAGATTTATAGCTTTCACATGACAGTGGAACCTCGGCTTACAAGTTTAATCCATTCTGTGACCTTGCTCGTATCCCGATCTGCTCGTATGGTGAGTCAGTTTTCCTCATTTAAATTAATTGAATTGCCATTAATCTGTTCCAGCGGAATTCCTGCTCTCGGGAGGCAGGACAAAAATACTTCAATATAACGCTAATATCAACTTTACGCCTTATTTATCTATCAATTCATCTAATACAGTGGACCACCCCTTTTTGTCTTTACCGTAATTTGTTTCAGAGAGTCCAACGAAATGTGAAATCGACTAAAACCGGAACCATTTTCCCCGTAAGAGATAATGTAAATCCAATTACGTAATCCGTTTCACACATCCAAAAGTATAAACAAAAAATACATTTTATAGAGAAGAACTATATTCCATGGTTTATTTATCTATCACAATTCATCTAATATGACATAATAAACAATATTAATAAACAGAAACACGATATATACTCTAGAATGAATAAAATATGTCATTACATATGTGAGGAGTAAGTGGTGCTAATGTTGTTGTTGGGTTTATAAGGGCCACTGAAAGAAGCCATATATATTAGTGGTAATGTAGGCAGCAGCAGAAGCCACCAACACTATTCACACAAACAATGTACGTAATTTATATATAAGAAATATTTACACTTTAATTTATAAATAAGAAATATTTACACTTACTGTACCTTGGAGATGCTGGCATTGGTTCAGGGTGATGGAAGATAGGCAGGGCAGCGTATGTTTGTCAGTGGCCCTACGCCTCCAATAACATTGAAGGAGTCAGTTTCGTGTCGTCCTTTTTCTATCGTTTAATCACTCAACTTATTTGCTACACTGTTAATGCTGTTAGCACCAGCCAGCGATAACGCTGGCTGGTGCTATAGCCTTTATCAACTCCTGCTGCTTAAGTATCGCACATATCATGGAATCACTGAATCACTGAAGAAGGTACATTCTCCCATCTCTCTTCCTCCTCCACTTTGGTATGTACAGTGGACCCTCGACCAGCGATGGCATCGATTAACGATAAATCTGACTAGCGATACATTTTATCGCAAAAATTTTGCCTCGATTAGCGCTAAAAAACTCGACCAACACTATTCATTCTGTCTGAGACGCGTCCACTTCTGGCCAGTGTTCACAAGCCAGCCAGCCACCGCGGTCGCTTCCAAGCATACAATCGGAACATTTCATATTATCACAGCCTTTTTAGTGATTGCATCTGCAAAATAAGTCACCATGGGCCCCAAGAAAGCTTCTAGTGCCAACCCTACAGCAAAAAGGGTGAGAATTACTATGGATATGAAGAAAGAGATCATTGCTAAGTATGAAAGTGGAGTGCATGTCTCCGAGCTGGCTAGGCTGTACACAAAACCCCAATCAACCATCGCTACTATTGTGGCCAAGAAAACGGCAATCAAGGAAGCTGTTCATGCCAAAGGTGCAACTATGTTTTCGAAACTGAGATCGCAAGTGATAGAAGATGCTGAGAGACTGTTATTGGTATGGATAAACGAAAAACAGATAGCAGGAGATAGCATCTCTCAAGCGATCATATGTGAAAAGGCTAGGAAGTTGCATGACGATTTAATTAGAAAAATGCCAGCAACTAGTGGTGATGTAAGTGAATTTAAGGCCAGCAAAGGTTGGTTTGAGAGATTTAAGAATCGTAGTGGCATACATAGTGTGATAAGGCATGGTGAGGCTGCCAGTTTGGACCAAAAAGCAGCTGAAAAATATGTGCAGGAATTCAAGGAGTACATAGACAGTGAAGGACTGAAACCTGAACAAGTGTTTAATGGTGACACTGACAATGTTGCGAAACACTTTAGGAATGTCATAAAGGAACGGGAGGTACAGGCCTCTATGGGCAGATATGTTGTGCGACAGAGGTCCAGTGACTCTCAAGCTGGTCCTAGTGGCATTAAAAGAAGAAGGGAAGTAACCCCGAAAAAGGACTTGCCATCTCAAGTCCTAATGGAAGGGGATTCCCCTTCTAAACACTAAGACCATCAACACACTCCCCTCTTCCCATCCCATCAATCATCACCAGATCTTCAATAAAGGTAAGTGTCATGTAACTGTGCATGTCTTCTTCAGTTTGTGTGTATTAAAATTAATATTTCATGTGTTAAAAATTTTTTTTTTCAATACTTTTAGGTGTCTTGCATGGATTAATTTTTATTTTTTATTATCACACTGGCCGATTCCCACCAAGGCAGGGTGGCCCGAAAAAGAAAAACTTTCACCATCATTCACTCCATCACTGTCTTGCCAGAAGGGTGCTTTACACTACAGTTTTTAAACTGCAACATTAACACCCCTCCTTCAGAGTGCAGGCACTGTACTTCCCATCTCCAGGACTCAAGTCCGGCCTGCCGGTTTCCCTGAATCCCTTCATAAATGTTACTTTGCTCACACTCCAACAGCACGTCAAGTATTAAAAACCATTTGTCTCCATTCACTCCTATCAAACACGCTCACGCATGCCTGCTGGAAGTCCAAGCCCCTCGCACACAAAACCTCCTTTACCCCCTCCCTCCAACTCTTCCTAGGCCGACCCCTACCCCGCCTTCCTTCCACTACAGACTGATACACTCTTGAAGTTATTCTGTTTCGCTCCATTCTCTCTACATGTCCGAACCACCTCAACCACCTCAATTTTATTTCCATTATTTCTTATGGGGAAAATTAACTTGACTAACGATGAGCTCTCAGGAACGGATTAATAGCGTTAGTCGAGGGTCCACTGTACTTAGCTACAAGTTTTTTCTTGAATTCTATCGTGTTTCTCACCTTCTTTATCAACGGGCTGGCACTAGCAGCTTTCTTTGGGCCCATGGTGGCTTATTTAGCAGTCATAAAGAATAAACAAGTGCAAAAAAAAAAATGAATTATTACGAAATGTTTCCTATGGGCTCGAAGGATAACGTTCACTCGCCCATAAACAAAGTGACACTGCCTCCTCAGAATGCGTGTGTGGGAGGTTGTGTGCGTGGTATACTCAGACATGTACCGTACCACTGACAAGAATGAAGGAAAGCAATGGAAACAGAGCCAATATTTTTACTGTACCACCAACGAGAATGGAGGAAAGCAACGAAAACGGAGCCAATAATTTTGCAGAAAAAATCGGCGATAATGGAAATGAGCGAAAACAGAGCCCAACGAAAAGGGAGGGTCCACTGTGTGATATAATAAACATTACAATTAACATAGAAACATGATATATACTCTAGAATGAATAAAATAGGCCATAATATGGCGAGTGGTGGCGGCAGTGGCCATTCCTTCTTCCTCTCTGACTGTATCTTCCCATGCTTTCATTATAAGAGAAAACTGAGTGTTTGTGAGGCTTAACTGCACTAGTTTCATAAATAAGAAATATTGTATAAAAACATAATAGAGGATGTAAAGAAATAAAGTGGTTTTACAAAGTGTACGTACGCTGGTGAAGATGGAAGTGGAGAGTGGAAGATAAGCTACTTGCAACTAGCTCCTACTGCCACCCCCTCGCTTGTTTATCTATGATTTCGTGCTGTAATTCCATGGACATCATCCTCTGTTTCTTCTCAGCACTGTCCTTTGCACTTACTTTCTTAGGACCCATTGTTAGAAAAAAGAAATTTGCCAATAACAACACGAGAAATGCTTCCACGGTGACATAAACACATTGCACAGCTCAGCTGATGTGGAGTTGGCTGTGCCACCTAGTGGTGAGGTTCTGAAACTCGCTCATTATTATTATTATTATTATTATTGTTATTATTATTAATTTAGGGAACTGGAGCACAGATCCAATTCCCTAGATCAAGGACCCCTCACCAGCATCAAGGAACCTCCCTTAAGGGAAAAGCTCGCATCCTGAATCTTTGCTTGTATCCAGAAACAAAAAATCAACCGAGCAACTGCTTGTATGTATCCTGAAAAACTCAAATGGTGGGGCACTCGTAAGCCGAGGTTCCACTGTACAATAATAAGACAAAAGTGCCTCCCAGTCACAAAGCAATGATCACTTTCTTAAACAAACAACCTAGGTTAACCCAACCAAACTCAGACACTGTACAGAAGGGCCCCACTTTACAGTGCTTTGCTTTACAGCATTTTCCTAATATGGTGGTTTTTCAATTAAATCTATTCTTCATTTATTCTGACTTCCTAGAATAAACATATTCATCACTTGCCTTCAACTGAAAATATTTCAAGGTAAGTAATGTGTGTACTGTATATGCATTTTTTAGACCTAGCTCTATTGCTCACTTAACCCTTTCAGGGTTTCGGACGTACTAGTACGGCTTACGCACCAGGGTTTTTGACGTACTAGTATGCTAAATTCTAGCGTCCTCAAATCTAGCGAGAGAAAGCTGGTAGGCCTACATATGAAAGAATCGGTCTGTGTGGTCAGTGTGCGCAATATAAAAAAGATCCTGCAGCACACAGTACGTAATGAGAAAAAAAAACTGAGTGTTTTTGGTTTAAAACAGCGACTTTGCACTGTATTTTTGTATGGTATTTATGATGGTATTCTAGTTTTCCTGGTTTCATTTTGTAGAATGGAAGACATATTACAGAAATTGAGACAATTTTGATTGGTTTTACAATGAAAAGTACCTTGAAACTGAGCTCAAAGTAGCAGAAGTCTTCAATTTTCACCAAAGTTCAAAAGTAAACAAATCATGCTACGCGTCCAATACACGTTAACTGGTAAGTCTAATATTCTTTCACAAGTGCGCTGATATTATTTATACCATTTCTACACTAATGCAGTAGTCTGCATAACAGTAAATCTTCTATTTTTTGTGAGAATAAAAATTCAAAGTGGAAAGCAAAAGAATGTAAGAGGGGCATGGGGACGTGACTAATGAACAGAGGAAATGTTATTTTAGTGCCAGGAAACCCCTCAAGGAAGGTTCCTTGATGTTGGTGAGGGGCTCTTGATTTAGGGAATTGGATCTGTGCTCCAGTTCCCCGAATTAAGCCTGAATGCCTTCCACATCCCCCCCAGGCGCTGTATAATCCTCCGGGTTTAGCGCTTCCCCCTCGATTATAATAATAATAATAATAATAATAGTGCCAGGAATGTCTTTCTTGTTTATTCTGGACCCTATTTGGAAATTGGCATCTTTTGAAATTTGTGTGAAATTGGCAAAATTGCTAAATTCTGACCACTTTATTGGATAGTTGAAATCGGTAAATGGGTGGTTTCTTGTACTCATTCGATAGAAAAAATGGGGTTCTAGCGAAATAGTTATGATTTTTGTTGACTAGTACACTGGAATTGGCCGAAAATAGGGCTCAAAGTGGGCAAAATCGCCGATGCGTAAACATCGCTGAGACTGCTAACTTCGCGAGAGCATAATTCCGTAAGTTTTCTATCAGATTTCATACTTTTGGTGTCATTATTATCGGGAAAAGATTCTCTGTCTTTTCATAAGATTTTTTTTTTTTTTTTTTTTTTTTTTTTTTTGAAAATTTGGCGACCCTGAGAACAAGTCTCGTAGAGGGCCTGGCGACCCTGAAAGGGTTAATTCTGTACTCAGCATTGTAATCCTTATAGAGAATAAACTTTGAATTTGAATATGTATTATCATAGTGTAAACATATTATCAGGCTTTCATATGTATTTGAAAGTGAAAAAAAAAGATTTTGTTCCACTTTACAGTGCTTTTTGCTTTACAATGGTAGCCTGAAACCTAACCTGCTATATAAGTGAGCCCCCCTGTATGATCATTCTCAGCAGAAGCATTAAAAACTATGAACTGTGTATGGGGAAACATTATTAAAAAATAAAATCATTCATTTGCACATAATTATGTTATTTTTTCTTGAATTATAATATTTTTTTTTATATTTTGTCATATTGCTGGTGATAAATAAAACCAACAAGGTGATGAATAAGAGACATGTTCAACACTTGGTTATCTACTGCCAAAATGTTTCACCAGAATAATACTTTTTCAGTCAAATACAGCACATGTTCAACTGAAAAAGTTTTTTCAGTTGAACATGTGCTTTATACTTTCTGTTTACTTATATGTTCTTAACTGTATCCTACTGTTGGCCCTTAGAATACAGTATGCACAGAATACAGTTTCTCTTTCATAACACATGCATATTAACTGAAGTAATTTTTTTTGTAAAGCAATGTACTTACGGTGGATCTCCAGCTTTGGGTATTCTATAGCATGCTGGTACGTGTACTTCATATTTCTGTTTAGCTTGTATGTTGCCAACCGCTTCCATACTCTCTACCTGTTCATCATCCCATCTGCAAGAGGAATTTCAAAATAAAACTCCACTAATGTATGTGTAATTCAGTTTTAAACTATAAAAAGGTGATCTACTATATATAATATTAAACAAAATACATTGGTAAAAGGTGGTGCAAAATAAATCTCCACTTACTGAAAGTATTGTGTAATTCCTTTTCATATTATACAATGCTAGTACAGGAGGTCTCTAACTTAAAAAGGAGTTATTAATATAGATAACAACTGTAAAAAAATATGGTTTTGTTTCGCATGTTCGCATTGTGGACTGGCATTTGTAAAGCTGTTATTTCTTCCTCAATACTACCTGGAGGATATTCAGGGGATCAACACCCTTGTGGTCCGGTCCACGGCCAGGCCTCCCAGTGGATCAGGGCCTGATCAACTAGGCTGTTACTGTATGTACCCAGTGCATAAGTGAATGTGTGTAACTTGGGCATTTTATATAGTACAGCATTTCTAAATATTACATGGCTCAGAGGATTAAAGAATAAAAATAAGTTTTGTGCCTATGGCTCCTTGTGCATAGATGACTTCTTGAACACCTGGCCTAATCAGTTGATTTATAAAAAAATTGTATAATTTGTAGAAAATATCTACATATTATGAAGATAGTAAGCTTTTAGAAGAAGTGTGGTGTACCTATTCTCTGAACAAAGGCTCCATGTTACCACTGTGCTTAAAAAAATTTATTCAAATGGCATACCATTGACTCTAATGAAGAAAAGAAACATTTGCACATTTGAGACAATGTTTTGATTTGTTAAGATCTTTAGCAAGTCGTAAAGAGGATACAAATTGAATGCATCTATAAACTAACATCATCAACAACTTCTCCAGGAAGGTTATTGACATAAATGATTGACTGTAACATACCTGTAGCTCTCTCGGAACTTTTTATACCTAAACTACCTATATGCCAAACCACTACCACACACCATATTACAGGGCAGACGTATCATCCAGAAATCATAGTATTTCAGGATAGTCCAGGGTATCTCCTGCAATGGTATAAACCTTGGTAATAAATACCGACAAGTTGGTTTAGAAAGACACGTAAGCAAACACTATAACATATTTATTAGAAAACGTTTCGGTCCTGGGACCTTGATCACTTCAAGGTCCCAGGACCGAAACGTTTTCTAATAAATATGTTATAGTGTTTGCTTACGTGTCTTTCTAAACCATCTCCTGCAATACTCCACAGATCCACAATTCATCACACTCCAACAATTTCACTCACCTCACTTCTACCTCTCTTACCAGCATATATACAGGTATGTGTGTAATTTGTAATCTCTCTATGACTTGATAAAGACCTTAACTGATCAAAACACTGTCTCAGTACAAACTCTTTCTTCAAAAGTACTGGCTGGCCTATTATAAAAATTAAAATGTAATGCCCAGTTTATTGTTTACAGTATAAATATACAACTTAACCAATTATCTATAAGTTAAATCTACTGCCTACTTCACTACCCATCCTATTATCTAGAAGCTGATACAGAATCTTCTCCCCAGCTTATTTTTTTATTATAAAAATATAACATACTACTAAATCAGTTATGTATTTACAAGCTGAAATATATTGCTCATTATTATTGACCAGTCAAAATTAACGCCATATATTTATGAATGATCAGTATTGACATATTCATCAGAGTAAAAGCATCACTATACAGTAGGTCCCTGCTTATGACACATGTGCATTCCTGAAAAACCTGAAAATCATTCATTATTTGAGTGTTTGGAACATGGAATGTTTTTTTCCCACAAGACACCCATGCTGCAATCAGAGATGCACTCCTAGGTAATTTGCACATATGTTACTATGTATGATAATTATACATATGTGTACCTATACCTAAATATACTTACTTAAGAGTCCATATAAAATTTCATATTTTTTTAACAAAGTGAAAACTTGTAGGATGCTTTGATGAATCCCTGATTCTTCTTTATTCCCCTCCCTTCCTCTTATTCTCTTTCCTAATCCTTTACCTTTCTCCCTTTCTCACATTCTCTCCCACTCTCCCCCACTGTTTCCCATGGTATCTGACGCAACACACTATACATGTGCTCTGCATCATCTCACTAATAACAGTGAATGTATAGTATTAGATGTCGGGCATATGGTGTTGAGGAGTGGTTAGAATACTGTGTAAGGAGGGTAGGAGGGTGGGTGGTGGGGCATACAGTTAGATGAGTCAAGGAAGCGAGGGAGGAGAGAGTACCCAGCTCTTTTCCACTTCCTTCCCACAGCCCCCAGTCTGGGGCTGGGGCTTTCCCCTTCCCAGGCTCTCTGGCAACCCACTATTTGGTCTTCTTCCCTCAGCCACCTGCTAAATTCTGGGCCCATACTCTCCCCAGGCTCACTAACCAACCCCTGTCATACCTCTTTGATCATCTGTCAGGGGCCAGGGCCTTAACCCACGCTTCAAGACAACTAACCTGCCTCAATGATATACCAACTCTTACTTCTTTCCCTTCTCCTCCCCCTCACCCCTCAAGGGAGGTTCCTTGATGCTGGTGAGGGGCTCTTGATCTAGGGAATTGGATATGTGCTCCGGTTCCCTGAATTGAGCCTGAATACCTTCCATCCCCCCCCCCCACGTGCACTATAATCCTACGGGTTTAGCGCTTCCTGAAAATTCTAATTCTGATTCCCCCCTCCCCCCTCAGCCACCAGTCCAGGGCAGGGGCCTTCCTTGAAGACTCCCAGGCACCCCTCTCTCATACCTCTGCCTAACCAATCATTCTTGCATGCCAACTTCTGACAAACTCAACAACCACATCAGTAATAATAAAGTACTACAGTTCTTTACCAATTTTTACCAAACAAATATTAGCTCTCTATACATGAATAAAATGAACAAAAACAATACATGAATTCATTTGGTTAAAAAAATTATTCCAAAGTGCCACATTGTGAGTGCGAAACTCATAAGTTGGGGGCCTACTGTGTGTATCACCATCTTGATGCCTTTTGTATTTTATATAATAAATAAATAAATTTATACATGTATGTATGTGTGTATTTATTTTGTTTGTTTTTGTTTTTGTTGTGTGTATTTTTGTGTGGGCATGTGCACTCTGGACAACAAATTCTAAAGCTTAACATCCCTAGCACAAACAGACAAAAGTTTATATGATGATGACCAGTCAGCAGTGGTTCAGTAAGGAATATTAGTCACAGGTGCACTCTCTCACTCCCTTACTCTGCTTAGTGGTCACAACTCCCTGATTTGTATTTTGTTGTTATTGCTTTTACCAAATAAGCCTAACAAAAACCATCGTAATAAAATTCACTGTGGAGATGAGAAACAGGGATACGATTTTGTGTTAAAATATATACAGCCTCTCCTCATTTATCGACAGAGTTCCATTCATAAGACCATTCATAATGAATTCGTCGCTAAGTGAGGAGCATACTATAATAGTGGTGGGTTTGTGTCAACCATCTTTGATATTGTTTTAATGTCACCTTTGCACCATATATAACATTTCTGGTATAAATTTAAATGTTTGTACAGTAATGTACTGTATATTGTAATAATCAGAATAGAAGAAATCAGCTCTAATATGCATTATTTAGGTATGCATAATAGTCAGAGAGGCTGTCATAAGTCCGAGTTCGTCGGTAAACGAGTACGTCGCTAAGTGAGGAGAGGCTGTAGTATACTGTACAGTGAATGGATTATATCATTAACATATAGCAAGAAGAGTCAAAACAGAAAGTAGGACTCCCTGTTGCACATCAAAAAGAACTGAAATACAGTGCATGACTTTCACTTGAGCTCCAAATTATTATATTACCGTGTTCATGAAAAAATGCTAAATCCACGTGGTTTGCTCAGCATTGCAACATTGAGCTCGGAAAAAGATGAAATATAGTAAAGGATTTCAAGCTGGTCACAAAAATTTACTCTGAAACAAGCCTTCACGGTGAACACCAATAATAAAACATGAATACACACCCATGACAGAAAGAAAGAGGATACAACACCTCAGTTCTGCTGAACACTAGTAACTTAATATACACATTACATATTAAGGTTGGACATATTGACACTGAAAAAAAAAGTACACAGCTTTGTATTGAGGGAAGAGGGAGAACTACATAACAGGGCTTGTTGTTGGACACCAGGAAAATTGCATTAAAGTATTTATGGTAATTTTCTATGGTTGCAAATTATATATACAGTGCAGTTTACTCATTTGTTTACAACAGAATTATACAATTATAGCATAACTCCAAAGATAAACAGTTTCAATTGGAGCCTTGAAACAAACCAATCTGCAAAATTTACTTCCTCAAAAAATTTTACTTATTTTGGACTATGTGAATAAAATACTGTACTGCAGAATAGGAGAAATTGGAAAATAGCATATGCTGCTCAAATTTTTGCTGCATGTCAGGTATTTTAGTCAATAACAGTGCCCCTTGATTTTGCTAACAAGTCTAGTCTTTGTTTAACAGTGGTGATGGAGAAAACAAGTGACTTGAATTGATAATTGCATAAATTTCAACTTATTGCAGAAGTATGGCTTCTAAGGATCTTAATTCTCTGAGGATGCTGGTGACTGTAATAAGTAAGATACAAATGTAAATTTTTAGAAGAAAAAAACATTAACTGGGAAACAGAGTAGGCACATACCACATACATGTAGGTGTAGACAGTACCTGGCCTTCATGATTTTCAGGAAAATGCAAGAATACACTAACTATTGATGAAAACATATATTAAGTACAAAATAAACTGGACAAAGGTGTGAGTACTTTGCCACTCATGCTGGGTACAATAATTAAAAAAACAATTGTGTATGATTTCAAGACACAGAAATATAAACTTTTCAAGTGTTACTCTCAATATGACTGCGATCTTTCTCGGTATATGTATCTGTGTATGTATGAGGGAAAAACACACAAAATACAAAGATAAATATTAACTTTCATATATGAAGACAGTATTACATAATATCTGAATACAACTGAGATGGATATATAATTTGTGTAAAAGGACTTACCTCTCTCAGTAATCATGTTTCTCCAATTCTGAGGCTGCTGAGCAATGGAAACACTTACAAACAAATATATAAAATAAATATCATTACTATATTACAAGAGAAGTACCCATTGTCTTGGAAGTCTTCCTTAAATCAAGTCAACATTTCAAGCACTAACTCTGTGTACTTATATTGCTATGTTATACACTTAACAGATTTGTTTTAACAATCTTAATTTAATTGCAGATATCTAAAAAATTCTATTACAATACATGACAACTGAGAAATTTTTTAAATGATAATAACAAAGAAATGTGTTGCTGTATAAAACTATCTTACTTGTTTAATCATTGTATTTTGAATGTTATTCATTTAACTCAAGCTAAAATACATGCCTATTATGTCAAATAATTAGGTACAGTATGTCTACACTTAAGATAATTAACACTAGCTTAACACCCTGCCTACTGTAGAAAATTTTATATAAAATTGTCTTAAAAGTTCCTAAGTGTCGATGTTTAATATAACAATAATAATAATAGGCGATGTAAATGTCTCAAGAAGAGTTGAAGGGACAGTGTAAAGGAGGTTTTAAATAGTAAAAGTCAGTTTATACAATGAAAGGATGCAGTCAATGAGTATTTATTGTAATTACTTTTTTGTATGAAACCAGGACCACAAAATAAGAAATTACATTAATGAAGATTAGCATATAATTTTTGTAGCCTATGAAAAGGGCTAAGATATAGTGATAACTATAGAGGAAACAAATATAACATATTGTACAGTATATCATAGTCTGACATAAGAATTCGTAGGACAATAGTATAACAAAATTCAGGTCCCCAAGAAAAATTACATTAATGAAAATTGGTATTTAATTGTTGTGGCTTGTGAGAAGGCCTAGGATATATTGATAGCTATAGAAGAAACAAAAATGATATATTGTACAGGGAGCAAATAAAAACAAAGCATGGCAATTACACAGATTAATAAACTCTCAATATAGCAGACCTCTTTGTAATGTACTTTGGAAATACAGAACAAAATCCACTGGGTCAAAAACAAAAGACAAAATTCGGTGGTTACAGAATTGTCTTTTACTATTACTATCAGAGCAACACCATCTCTTCTGTATCCACCAGAACTGCCATTACTAGTCATCAGCTCTCTGCTATTAGTCTACTATATGAAGGCTTTTTCTACTCAGGAAAAATAGTGCAAAGGACTTCCCCATAATACATTAAAGTGCAGCATTATTTATGAATTGATTGCTAAAAAAAAAAAATTATGTCACTGGATAGGACAAAGAAAAAAAGTATATGTTAAAGAACATTTTCAACTACTGCACAGTAATGTACTGTATTCAAAAAAATAATGTCAGAATATAAACATGTTGGAGAACGTAGGATACTGGCAAGCATAACAAGTGATCCCAAACTTAATGAACTGGACAGCATAAGTCAAACACAGATTTAATAACCAAGTAAAAAAATTGAGGACTGAAGGAAAAATTAAGTATAAATAAAAATTAAGAATATTAAAACATAAATTTACCAAACACCACTAGTAAGAGCAAACAAAAAAGTAAAGGTAGGAAAGAAAAAAGTGTATGTGAAAAAGACAGTCTCCCAAATAATTTAAGAAACAATAGAGAATATTACCATAATCTCTTTGGAAATAGGAGTAAGCTAGCTTCTGATGCACTACATTTTTTCTTTAATGTTATAGTCACTAGATTAATTTTAACAGAAAAGTTTTATAATTTAAGTAATGAAATACCTCTCTATAATCCTGGTAATCTTTACCATAAAATAAGAAATACAGTTGTGTATTAACACTGTCCATTATTCCCCTTCCTCTATAACCTTATCAAACAAACAAAAGATAATACAATGTCAAAAATTTTACTCACTTGTCTAATTTGAGAGACTTCACTTTGGATACATGCGTGCCTAATCTTCTGTGCCAAGTTGCACACGTTGTGCACAAAAATACACCAATGTTGCACGATGCCCATTCTGGATCTTGAAAAAAGAGACATTGCATGTTAGCAATACCAAATACACTTTATAAAATTTAGCAATACCAAATACACTTTATAAAATTTAGCAATACTAAATACACTTTATAAAATTTAGCAATACTAAATACACTTTATAAAATTTAGCAATACTAAATACACTTTATAAAATTTAGCAATATCGAATTCACTTCATAAAATTAAAAAACGGAATAAAGGATCATGCAATCTGTGATAGTAACACCACATTAATCTTAGGAGTGTATTGCCACAGGTTGAATCCTGTCCATACCCCAAGTTGTTTACAATTATGTTATGAATGTACTGCCACAGATTGCATACTGTCCAATCCCTGAGTTGTTTACAATCTTATATATATATATGTACTGCCATGGGTCGAGTCCTATCCATTCCCGGAATTATGTACAATCAAATGTAAGATCTGTTATAGTTAGTCACTAGGCCCCTTCCATTGTTTTTACATTCTGTGTATATTTTTTACTATAAATGGGTAATTCATTTTGTTATTTTTCAGTTTTTTTTATAGTGGAATATGATTTAGTAACTGAAATTTGCACTTTTTAAACATTTTGTTTTCTATGATTAAATGAGTAACTTAGTCTTTATGATGTATGGAGCCTCTACAAATAATGATGAAATTCACTCCACTCACATGCAACCACTTTGTAAACAGCAATATGTACTCTCCAGTACCTAACATTATAATAATAATAATAATTTTTTTTATTATTTTATTATCACACTGGCCGATTCCCACCGAGGCAGGGTGGCCCGAAAAAGAAAAACTTTCACCATCATTCACTCCATCACTGTCTTGCCAGAAGGGTGCTTTACACTACAGTTTTTAAACTGCAACATTAACACCCCTCCTTCAAAGTGCAGGTACTGTACTTCCCATCTCCAGGACTCAAGTCCAGCCTGCCGGTTTCCCTGAACCCCTTCATAAATGTTACTTTGCTCACACTCCAACAGCACGTCAAGTATTAAGAACCATTTGTCTCCATTCACTCCTATCAAACACGCTCACGCATGCCTGCTGGAAGTCCAAGCCCCTCGCACACAAAACCTCCTTTACCCCCTTCCTCCAACCTTTCCTAGGCCGACCCCTACCCCGCCTTCCTTCCACTACAGACTGATACACTCTTGAAGTCACTCTGTTTCGCTCCATTCTCTCTATATGTCCAAACCACCTCAACAACCCTTCCTCAGCCCTCTGGACAACAGTTTTGGCAATCCTGCACCTCCTCCTAACTTCCAAACTACGAATTCTCTGCAATATATTCACACCACACATTGCCTCAGACATGACATCTCCACTGCTCCAGCCTTCTCTTGCGCAACATTCATTCACCCATGCTCATCACACCCATATAAGAGCGTTGGTAAAACTATACTCTCATACATTCCCCTCCTTGCCTCCAAGGACAAAGTTCTTTGTTCAACAGACTCCTAACTGCGTCACTCACCCTTTTCCCTCATCATTTCTATGATTCACTCATTCTCATAGACCCATCCGTGGACACGTCCACTCCAATATCTGAATACATTCACCTCCTCCATACTCTCTCCCTCCAATCTGATATCCAATCTTTCATCACCTAATCTTTTTGTTATCCTCATAACCTTACTCTTTCCTGTATTCACTTTTAATTTTCTTCTTTTGCACACCCTACCAAATTCATCCACCAATCTCTGCAACTTCTCTTCAGAATCTCCCAAGAGCACAGTGTCATCAGCAAAGAGCAACTGTGACAACTCCCACTTTATGTGTGATTCTTTATCTTTTAACTCCACGCCTCTTGCCAAGACCCTCGCATTTACTTCTCTTACAACCCCATCTATAAATATATTAAACAACCACGGTGACATCACACATCCTTGTCTAAGGCCTACTTTTACTGGGAAATAATTTCCCTCTTTCCTACATACTCTAACTTGAGCCTCACTATCCTCGTAAAAACTCTTCACTGCTTTCAGTAACCTACCTCCTACACATTACACCTGCAACATCTGCCACATTGCCCCCCTATCCACCCTGTCATACGCCTTTTCCAAATCCATAAATGCCACAAAGACCTCTTTAGCCTTATCTGAATACTGTTCACTTATGTGTTTCATTGTAAACACCTGGTCCACACACCCCCTACCTTTCCTAAAGCCTCCTTGTTCATCTGCTATCCTATTCTCCGTCTTACTCTTAATTTTTTCAATAATAACTCTACCATACACTTTACCAGGTATACTCAACAAACTTATCCCCCTATAATTTTTGCACTCTCTTTTGTCCCCTTTGCCTTTATACAAAGGAACTATGCATGCTCTCTGCCAATCCCTAGGTACCTTACCCTCTTCCATACATTTATTAAATAATTGCACCAACCACTCCAAAACTATATCCCCACCTGCTTTTAACATTTCTATCTTTATCCCATCAATCCCGGCTGCCTTACCCCCTTTCATTTTACCTACTGCCTCACGAACTTCCCCCACACTCACAACTGGCTCTTCCTCACTCCAACAAGATGTTATTCCTCCTTGCCCTATACACGAAATCACAGCTTCCCTATCTTCATCAACATTTAACAATTCCTCAAAATATTCCCTCCATATTCCCAATACCTCTAACTCTCCATTTAATAACTCTCCTCTCCTATTTTTAACTGACAAATCCATTTGTTCTCTAGGCTTCCTTAACTTGTTAATATCACTCCAAAACTTTTTCTTATTTTCAACAAAATTTGTTGATAACATCTCACCCACTCTCTCATTTGCTCTCTTTTTACATTGCTTCACCACTCTCTTAACCTCTCTCTTTTTCTCCATATACTCTTCCCTCCTTGCATCACTTCTACTTTGTAAAAACTTCTCATATGATAACTTTTTCTCCCTTACTACTCTTTACATCATCATTCCACCAATCGCTCCTCTTCCCTCCCACACCCACTTTCCTGTAACCACAAACTTCTGCTGAACACTCTAACTTTACATTTTTAAACCTACCCCATACCTCTTCGACCCCATTGCCTATGCTCTCATTTACCCATCTATCCTCCAATAGCTGTTTATATCTTACCCTAACTGCCTCCTCTTTTAGTTTATAAACCTTCACCTCTCTCTTCCCTGATGCTTCTATTCTCCTTGTATCCCATCTACCTTTTACTCTCAGTGTAACTACAACTAGAAAGTGATCTGATATATCTGTGGCCCCTCTATAAACATGTACATCCTGAAGTCTACTCAACAGTCTTTTATCTACCAACACATAATCCAACAAACTACTGTCATTTCGCCCTACATCATACCTTGTATACTTATTTATCCTCTTTTTCTTAAAATATGTATTACCTATAACTAAACCCCTTTCTATACAAAGTTCAATCAAAGGGCTCCCACTATCATTTACACCTGGCACCCCAAACTTACCTACCACACCCTCTCTAAAAGTTTCTCCTACTTTAGCATTCAGGTCCCCTACCACAATTACTCTCTCACTTGGCTCAAAGGCTCCTATACATTCACTTAACAACTCCCAAAATCTCTCTCTCTCCTCTACATTCCTTTCTTCTCCAGGTGCATACACGCTTATTATGACCCACATTTCGCATCCAACCTTTACTTTAATCCACATAATTCTTGAATTTACACATTCATATTCTCTTTTCTCCTTCCATAACTGATCCTTCAACATTACTGCTACCTCTTCCTTTGCTCTAACTCTCTCAGATACTCCAGATTTAATCCCATTTATTTCCCCCCACTGAAACTCCCCTACCCCCTTCAGCTTTGTTTCGCTTAGGGCCAGGACATCCAACTTCTTTTCTTTCATAACATCAGCAATCATCTGTTTCTTGTCATCCTCACTACATCCACGCACATTCAAGCATCCCAGTTTTATAAAGTTTTTCTTCTTCTCTTTTTTAGTAAATATCTATAGGAGAAGGGGTTACTAGCCCATTGCTCCCGGCATTTTAGTCGCCTCATACGACACGCATGGCTTACGGAGGAAAGATTCTTTTCCACTTCCCCATGGACAATAGAAGAAATAAAGAAGAACAAGAGCTATTTAGAAAAAGGAGAAAAACCTAGATGTATGTATATATATATGCATGTGCGTGTCTGTGAAGTGTGACCAAAGTGTAAGTAGGAGTAGCAAGATATCCCTGTTATCTAGCGTGTTTATGACAGGAAAAGAAACCAGCAATCCTACCATCATGCAAAACAGTTACAGGTTTCTGTTTCACAGTCATCTGGCAGGACGGTAGTACTCCCCTGGGTGGTTGCTGTCTACCAACCTACTACCTTATTGTTACTATTATTATAATTATTAGTTAGATTCATGTGCTAGGCCTACAGGATTATACAGAATCTGGGCAATGGTAGGTACTCTGATCAGGTTTCATTTAAGGAAAAGTTCTCCAATTCCTTGAATAAAAAGCCCTTCATCAGCATTAAGCACCTTCATTAAAGGATATGTGCAGTACCTAACATAGATTTATACAAGAATTTTCAGTGAATAATCACTGGACTAGACTTTTTCCTATTATTATAGTAAACAGTTTTTACTTGGGTGAATGGGGACAGCAGGTGTAAGGAAACATGCCCAATGTTTCCACCTGACTGGGGACTAAACCACAGACATACTGTGTGCGAGGCGATAGCGTTGCCTACCAGGCCACGAGGGGAAGATATAAGAACATAGTCTCCTTACACAGCTGACTGCTGTGGATGGCATTTTGGAGAAGGAAGACATTCTTCATGTTTTTTACCCCACAGGGTTATCCTAATAAAATTAAGCAGTGTTGTTTGTTTTCAGTGAGTCACTACCAGACCTCTCCTAGGATGTGACCCACAAGAGTCAACTAGCTTCCAAGAACCTGTGTACTGCTTACTTCTAGGTGAATAAGGGCAGCCGTAAAATTTACCTGTTCACATTACTCCACCTGAAATTCGAACCTGGGTTCTTTTGGTTTTAAATTGAATGCA